CCATTACGTCATTCTTAAATGTATTCTCTTTCGATTGTTCTTTTTGATGATTACAAAGGGGGAGAAAATTAAGAAAAATATGCTCTAAGTTTGTTGTTTTATTATTTATGAATCATTTACTTGTTTGATGTTTCATAATTTCTTGAGGCATTAATATAGGGGAGAATATGCTTGAGTAAAATTTATGATAATATATTAGCATGTATTAGTATTATTACATGGATGGTGTATTACCTTGGTTTTTATGAATTTTTCTTGAAATGGTTTGTCATCATCAAAAAGGGGGAGATTGTTGGCTTTTTGGCCTTGATCTCACTTTAATTAATTTCAATCAATTAATTGATGTTTTGATGATAACAAACCTACTTTTTAATTATTAACTATTTTCAGTATTTTGAACTGTCCACAGTATAAGGTCGGGAATAACGATTTCAATGACTTTTCAATTACTCAAATCAGAGCTAAAACGAAAATTACAGTCGAGACAACATACCCGGCGTGATGATGTGGCAGCAAAATCAAAATGATGGACAAATCAAGATATATCAAAGTATGACATTTATGATTTTTGGAGAGTAACAAATGGTGGAGTTTTTCTTATTACTATATTTTTAAATAAAGTTATTTTTACAAAATATAAATTTGAATCTAACCGTTACTCACATCGATTTTTATTATTACTATATTATATTATTATATTATTATATTTTAAAATTTTGGTGGTTACTCACATAGTTTTTATTATTATTATATTATTATATTTATAATAAATTTTGAATTTCATTTGACCGTTACTCACATAACTTTTTATTATTATTATATTATATTACTATTATATTAAAATTTTGAAATAAATGAATTTAGAAAATTTTCTTATTTATTTACTTTTAATCTCCACCTTCCATTATTCCTAACACAATCCAATGGTCAATATTCAATCCTACATTTTGCCACTTTTCTCCTCTATATAAACTCATCTTCCCCACATTTTAAAATACACAACTTACATACATTCTCCAATCCTCATTTGTTCAAAGTCTCCATTGTTTGTTGCTCTCTCCAAGCTTACAAGTTCATTTCTTTTCATCTTATTCTTGAGAGGGATTATTTTTTGTGAGGAAATAGTTGTGAGTATCCCAAATTGTAAATCTACTCTTTGAGAGAGTTGTGGTGTGTTATTATCAAACTCAAATACTTGTATCGGTTTGATCCTGCGCCGTGGAAAGGATTGAGTTTGCTCTTGAACTCGTAAAAAAAGCGGTGTAGCGGTTTGGCTCAGATCCGTGGAAAGAGTCGAGAAAGTTCTTTATTCAAATTCCCAAGAGGCGCTTGGGGAGTGGAGTAGGTCGAGTTTGACCGAACCACTATAAAACTACGGTGTCATTTTCTCTAACTCTTTTCTACTTAATTTCAAAATTATTATTGTGATTTATTGCATGTTCTACTTGATTATTGTTTTGACTTGAATTACTTTGTTATAGTAATTATCATCTTCTACTTATTTGCAAAAAGTTTCATCATTAGAAAAATTAATCACGTTTAAACACTTTTATCGTTAAAACCCTATTCACCCCCCCTCTAGGGTTGCCATACCGATCCAACAAATTGCTCGTAGAACAATAATTAGTTGACTATTGATCTCACCTACAGTGTCGGTGCCTCGAGCTTGTCACTAATCAAATCACAATCAACTCACCGTGATTAAACGTAGGAAAAGTGCATCTACTAGCATTATATTACATATAGTGTCATTTCTGATGCGACAGCTTAAATTTCTAATGATGATCATTGCATTTTTTTCTTCCTGACTCAAGACTTAGGTCTGTCGCAAACATCATAGGGTATTTGACTAACCACTCCACGATGTTCATCATCTTTTCCCTTTTACGTCTTTTTCAAGGACGCTCGGTTTCTCTAGGGTTATTCATTGCCCACCTAATTTAACACGTAACAAGTGGACCTAGTAGCTTTCCAATCAAAATGGATCTACCAATGCAATGTATTATAATATAGAGAAATCAGAACGGTAATCATTTTCTTAGTCGAACAGCATATAAAAACAAGATTTAGTTTTTCGAACTATTTTCACTTGATTATACTTGGATCAATAGAAGATATGATATCAATAATTATGCACCGATATTAAAAGGTGATAGCCTCTTCTAACCTTTTAACCCGAGTTTTCATCGCATAAGAATTATTATTGATCTTTTTAACTATTTGTTATTATTATTTGTTGGGAATTAAAGTGTCCTTTTTTTTTTATGTATTAACTTTAGAGATTAAAAATAGGAGTTAATTTCGGTCACATTATTATATTGAATTTACTAATTAAACTTAATTTTCGGAAATTGCTTTAAAATCGGTAAAAATAAAATTACTCGTTTACTAAACAAGCGAATTAGCAAAACGACAGCTACTTTTATCCGTTTAATTAGGCGAATTTTAATATTTAAACAAAAATTAAATTAAATAAAAGGCGGATTTTAAGTAGTGGATGTTCAAAACGTCGCCGTCAAAGCCCCTGCCGACATTGCTCCTATTGGTCCGCATCCCATTAACAAGTAACTAATTTTTATTTTTCTTTCCTTATTCTTTGGATTCCATTGTTACTTAATATTCAAATTATTTACCACGTTATTTATTTCTTAATTATTTACAACTAATATTTTATTATATTATTCTGTTCCCGTTTGCAGGTGTTAAGGTCTACGTAGCTCTGCGTGTGGTTGGACACGATCATTTCAAAGGGACACGAGTATGTCTGATGTTTTAAAACATGTGTCGAGAATTCGAACGATGTGTAGGATTTAATTGTTTATACTCGTTGAAGAACGTGATTTTTTGTTCAATTTGTTACATTAGGACAAGACTACGATAACATTGTTGTACTGACCAAACAAAAAAAAGAGTCAAAGTCGATTATTCTATATTTCCTAAATGGCGCTCTATCTATCTGTGAGATCTCACATTGATTGGAGAGAGGAACGAAACATTTCTTATAAGAATGTGAAAACTTCTTCCTAGTAAATGCGTTTTGAAATTTTTAGCTTGACGACGTTACATAACGAGCCAAAGCAAACAATATTTATTAGCAGTGGGTTTGGATTGTTACAAATTGTATTAGAGTTAGACACCGAACAATGAATTTGGATTGTTACAAATTGTATCAAAGCTAGACACTGAGCAGTGTGCCAACGAGGATGTTGGGCCCCAAAGGGGTTGGATTGTGAGATCTTAAGTCGGTTGGAGGGAGGAACAAAACATTCTTATAAGAGTGAAAATCTATCTCTAACAGACGTATTTTAAAAAATATATATATAAAAAGGGCCAAAAACGTTAATTTTTGAAAATGGAGGGACTAGATAGAAAAAAGAAAATTATTTTACATCACATCACGTGGTTGTTTCTTGCAATACAATTATGAAGCCCAACATGAAAGAGATGGGCTCTAAATATTTTGTGAGCAAATGAAATTACAAAATAGCCCTTATTTACAACCCTTCCAACGGTCATTTCCAATGGCCAATTAGGACATATCCTTAAATCATTCCCTTATAGAATAGAAGCTTCTCTAGCAACATTAAAAATTAAAAGAATTATTCAAATAATATCATTCCCTTTTTTATTTTTAAATAAATTATTCTATTTTAAGAACTTTAAATAAATTAACATAATTTATAAATTTTTTTAGTTCTTAACTTACCATTAATTACTTTCAACAACAATATTATTACATTATTTAATTTTAATTTTAATGTTATTCATTAATAAATATATTATAAATAAAGCTTAATTTTAAATTAGGCAACAAAATCATATACTTTTTTAATCGTAATAATTAGTACAATGAAAGAATTAATTAATTAATATAATATCTGCTAACAGTAAATCTGGGTGATTACAATAAATATATATATATATATTTAAAAAAATTAAAAAAATAATGATAAAAGGGAAATGAGTGCACGTGAAAGTTTAGCCCACATGCCATCTTCGCTACTTTCTCAGTGAATTATGCTTTTCCACTTGCCCTCCTCCTTATAATTATTTCCAATTTTGTTATTTTATTATTTATTTTTCCCATTTTCCATTTTAAAATTGTAATTTAATTTAATTTAATTTAATTTTTTTATGAATCTTTGATTCTCCCCATTTTGGGTACACCTAAAGTCACAAGATTGGTTGGCACATTTGACTTTCTAGTCATTTCACCCATTTTTACATATATTTTTATTTCCTATATAAATTAATTAAAAAATAAAGTGGTCCTCTTTGGGATAAATTAATTAAAATAAATATATATAAATAACTTACTAATTAAAATAAAAGAAATTAATTATTTATATTTCAAAGAATTCCAATTTTTGGCGTGTTTGGTGCATGAGAGCAACCAAACCATATCCAAACAAAACAATTTTAAATAATATATATATATATATATATTATATTATTATATTATTATTTCTACACCTAACGTGTTTCCTTCTTTGGTACCTAGTGTAATTTAAGAAAGTGTGGGGGAGGGAAGTATAAAAAAGGTGAAATAGATAAGGACGTATTTGCAATAATTAACAATATTAAATTATAAATTTGGTCCTTAAATTTTTTTTAATTTTTATATATATTCAAAATATCAAAATATGAATTAAATTTATACACTTTTTAAAAGATTACAATATTTAATATATATTTCTTAATACAACTTGTTTAATGAAAAATAATAATAAATAAATATAGAGAAATTGGGGGGGTAATTTGCAAAAACGAGGAACAGTCATTAGGTGGCACGTGCGGCGCAGATGGAAATGGCGCTTAGAAAATTCAAATATTTTAAAGAGAGAAAAAAAAAAGAAAATACAGCAATATTGATCTCGCTTGTAATCCACTCTCCATTAATAAAAATTAAAAAAATTAAAAAAGAAAAAGAAATAAATAGAAACTTCCAGATCCCGAGGGTATTTCCGTCATTTCGGGTTTAAAAAAAACATCTCTGGTTCGACGGCAGGATTGGGAAGTCGGAAAGCGCTTCCGTCTGGTTTCTTCGTGGAGAGTAAAGCAGAAGCCATTAACAAATAGCTTCAGAGTGCTTTTGAAGCGAACTCAGACCAACTCCATTTCTTCATCTTCTTCGCTTCCATTTCTCTCTCTCTCTCTCTCTCTCTCTCTCCTCTGCAATTCTTCCCAATTTGTTTCTTCTTCTTCTTCTTCTTCAATGGACAGAGCTACTCCTGTTCGGAAGCCTCACACCTCTACTGCAGATCTGCTCACTTGGCCGGAAGTTCCGCCGGCTGATTCCTCTGCGCTTTCTTCTTCTGCTTCTCGCTCTGCTCCGAGGTCTCATCAGGTACTTTCTACATTTTTATCTTTTTCCTTTTCTTCTTTCCTTTCGTCTTCTTCTGCTTATTCTGTTTGTTTTTGTTGTTTTTGTAGCCCTCCCCTGGGATTAGTAAGGTCGTCTTTGGAGGTCAGGTCACGGATGAGGAGGTTGAGAGCTTGAACAAAAGGTGAGATCTAAATCGGTTTTGTTCTTGCTTATTTCATTCCTGTTATTTTGGATAATTTTTGTTTCGGTTTCTTTCTTGTGCCGAATTGTGAGTACTGTGAATTGTTAAGGTGGAAACTCGAATGAGCTAATCTGTTTCGTTTCGGTGTTTCCTTGAGGTTGAGAAGACTGTTTTGTTCTCTCTCCCTATTTCTCATTCGCTGCTATTTTGTCGCTCTTTTTTAGTTGTGTAGCGCTTGTTGAATTTGTATCATTTCTATAAACCTCCGATCTGCTTGCTTAGTTTGTAAAAATTGGCCAAGTTATTCAAATTTCAAATCTCTATCTCTTACTCCTTGCGTGGTAATATTCGTTTTGCTCAAATGACTGCTGATTGGATCTCAAATCTGTATTCCTTTCTGGTTTTCAAGGCATTTTCACAAATCTTTGATCAAATTTGTTCGTCCTTCCCGCATCAATTGATTTTAACGTCATTTGAATACAAATTTTCATGTTGCTCTACAATCTTGAATTTGCTGGAGTCTTTTAGCTTGAGTTTCATATGAGGCGTCTCATTTGTTGTTCAATTTGCAAACACCAGGAAACCCTGTTCTGGATATAAAATGAAGGAGATGACTGGCAGTGGCATTTTTGTTGCAAACGAAGAAGATGATGAACTAGAATCTGGAAGCGCCAACCCTTCACAGAATAAAACAGGAATACGTATGTACCAGGTATCCATCGAAGAAGATCATCATTTATTGCAGTTTATCTGTGACTGTGGGAAGAATTTGTGTTTGGTTAAGGCTTTTCTAACTTCTATTCTTGACGGCTCGATCAACTGCAGCAAGCCTTGGCTGGGATTAGTCATATTTCATTCGGTGAAGAAGGAAGTGTTTCTCCTAAAAAACCAACTACTCTACCCGAGGTTGCGAAGCAGCGTGAGCTGAGCGGGAACCTAGAAAGCGATGCCGATGCAATGTTGAAGAAGCAGCTTTCTGATGCTAAATGCAAGGAGCTTAGTGGACATGATATATTCGCGCCTCCTCCTGAGATCTTACCCCGACCAACAACTGCACGCACTTTGGATTTAAAAGGAAGCATTGAGATTGGGGAGCCTGATAATGTAAGTAGTACTCTTCTGATCAAGTAATTTTCAGGATGGAATTCTAGTCCTAATTTCAAATACATCCATTGAGAATGCACAACCCCACAAACGACACTCTCTCATTTTGCTTAGAAATTACATAATTTAGTGTTAGGTTCTCACCATAGCCCGCTTGTTCGTTCGTTCGTCAGGCAGCATGGATAGAAGGGTCTTGCATCAACCAATTTATCTTACTCGTTTGTTTGCATCTTTTAGTTTCCTGATGGGGTTAGAATCTTAATGATGAAATCCTAGGATTCCAGTTGGTTAATATACGTGCAACTAAGTTATCATAAGGGTAGTTCATCAACTAATTCACTCGTTCCTTTGCATCATATTTTCACGATGGGGCCAGAAGCTCACTCACAATGATGAAATCCTAGGATTCCAGTTTGCTAATATACTTACAATCATTACTGATTGCTCTACGTGGGGTTGCTTTTTCTGAATAATTAAGCATGTCCCTGTTTTTTTTTTTTTTGTTTAACTTTTCTTCCAAGTCTTTCTCCGAAGCATATAATATCTCATTTAATTAGTCAATATATCATTATTGTGAGCTTCTATTATCTTCAGTACTAACATCCCTACTTTTCATTCATCCCTTTATTAATTCTAATATGGCCTGTGTTCCTTCTGATATTCCACATGGGATACCAACACAGATAAACGTGATCCCTGGTGAAGAACCTTCAGTAAAGACAGCAAAGAAGATATACGACAAGAAATTTTCGGAGTTATCAGGAAACGACATCTTCAAAGGCGACGTTCCTCCGTCGTCTGCAGAGAAACCATTGAGCGTCGCAAAATTACGCGAAATGAGCGGGAGCGACATATTTGCAGACGGGAAGGTAGAGACCCGAGACTACTTAGGCGGGGTACGCAAACCCCCGGGTGGAGAGAGCAGCATTGCATTGGTTTAAGTAATCTAGGTTCTAACCAAAACTCAATACTTTCAGTTGGTGGGGAGATGGATATTATGAAAATTGTGATCTGGTTTGGGTAATTATTATGTTTTAGGGTTAACTATGGAGTCTGCTAATTGAGTTATGTACTTGGTTAGTTGTGTGTGCAGTTTTATGTTGGTTGGTTGGTTGGTTGTCTTCTTTCTTCCTATTCTACTCTTTCCATCTCTTTGGGTTCTTCTCATTTGTTTATCATTATATTGATTAATTGATTCGGTTATTATGCTCAACCCTAAACCCTTTTTTTATTTCCTATTTTAATATTTTCATGTTTTAATTGGGATAATTAAAATTTTAGTTTTAATGAGCCAATATAAAGTAGAGATGTCCACCGGATGAGGCGGGAACAGGGAAGTCTTCCCTGTTGCCATTCCCACTACCTATTTCATTTTTCGTCCTTATGAAATTCTCCATTTAACTTTGGAGATCAAGTCTGGGAAGTAAGCAGCCCCTTTGACATCTCTTCGTCTGCAAAGAATTCTCGATGTGGAAACACAGAGACAAAAGGCTAATCTTTGAATAGGAAAAAGAGTGGATCTGCAAGATCCCAAATGAATTGGCTTTTTCGAAAAAAGTTTTGTTCGTTGGAAGATCTATCTCATGTCTGGTATTGCACGGTTCTACTCTGCAAGAACTCCGAATCATTCTCTTCATCAAAAATGATACGCCTGCCCTAAAATGACCTTAATTTTTACCGGTTTATTATTCTTGAAAAAAATAGTTATTTCAAAATTTTCATTTCTTAATATAATCTTTTTTAAAAATCTTAATAAATCAATATTAGGTTCTATCAATATAATTTTTAAAAATTTAAAATTTAATATCTTTAACCAAAAAAAGTATAAGTGAAAGTAATATTTATAAATATAAAATTAAAAAAAAAATTAAATGGTTATCAATTTTTTTTTGTACAATAAAGATTAAAATTTAAATTTGTCAATATTTACTATATAATATTTTAACCAATAAATTAAGTCTCGATGGGCTTAATTATTATTTTTTCTTTTATATATATATATGAAGAAATAGAAAAATGAAATATCAAGGACAGAGGTGATTAAGAGCAGAAATTAAAACCAAATTAAAAGGGATAATCATGATTAGTGGGCATAATCATAATTCTTTTTCCCTCTTTACATCTTTTAATTTTACCTTTTTAAAATTAGATTATAAAAAAAGAAAAGAAAAAAACTCTAAATCAGATATAAAAAAAAAAAAAAAAGACGAAACAAAATTAAGCATAAAAGTTACTCATCATCTCTTCCAACTCCGAGTTCTCAGCAATGGATTGTGACTGATTTTGGATTGTTTTTCTTCTTCTTCATCATCTTCTTGTTCTTCTTTTGGTTTCCGCTCGATCCACCCGACTGATCTGCAACGCATCAGTAACAGAGCATTTGGCGGCGGAACAGAGCAACCGATATTGTTTCTGGGTTTGGTTTCTTCTTTTTCGTGTACAATCATGAACCATTCCGCGAACATTGTTCTTCTCGAACCTTTGGTGGGTTCTTCTTCCGATTCGCACTCGCCGTCGCCGTCGCCGTCTTCTTGTTCCTCTTCCGATGTGATTACGTACTGATGGAAGCCTCTGAAGCAACGGAAATCGAAGCGGAAGCCGCGAAAACACGACAGAATATTAACGATTTCTCTTCTGAATCGAAGTGGGTTTTGATTTTGATTGGGTAATTTCTTCTTCTTCTTCTTGTGAATTCGCTCGATTTCTTCCATAACTGATCGCCAATTCTTGGTGGCGGGTCGGATTTTGATCTTGCCGGCACATGTGACCTTCGGCGATGTCGGCTCCGACGCCAACTCCTTGGCCCAGAGCAGAGGGCTAGCTTGGGAGGCTCCAACCGGCGTTGGCCTTTTCTGGTGGCGACGGTGGGATTCCGACGACGGTCTGGCCGGACTGCAGATGGGCTTTGGTAAAAGGGTGAGAGGGGAACGTGCCGGAAAGCAGACGAGAAGGTCGGCCGGCGGAGCAGTGGGTTTGGATTTGGAAGTTCTTGATTTCATGGATTTCATTTTCTGGTTGTGTTGAAGAAGATGAGTGAAATTTGGAATTTAAAACAAAAAGAGTGGGAAAATCTAATTAAAGCACTTTTTTTTTTCTAAAAAAATAAATAAAAAAAAATCTCTAGAAAAAGTGCTCGGACCCATCTGTTGACTATCTCATTGGGACATCCCGAACCTTCATCCATACTAGTTCTATCTTATTGGGACATCTCGAACATTCATCCATTTTTACCCTGTCGTTCGATATCGTTGTTGAAAAACTCAACGGGTATATAATCCAACCTCTGACACATGGGTTGGGGCACTGTACCCGCACACCCGTGTCATTCGATATTATTATTGAAAAACTCATTTTAAAGGAAGTCTTCCAAAATACCCGTCTTGAAACGTTCACCCATATTGTGACACATCCATGTGCAATAGAGTCGCTCTTCTTTTTTCAAATATTAAAATGCAAAATTGACGGTTTGAAAGTAGGATTAAAAAAAAAAAGCAAAAATTAACAAGGGTAAAAATGTAATTTCAATTTTTTTTGTAAATAAAAAAATAAAAAATGGAAAGTAAATTTGAATAAAGATTAATATAATAATTACTTTTTATAATATAAAATAAAATTATTTAATCATAAAATTTACAATAGTATATTCTTATTCTTACTGATAAAATATAATTATTAGAATAAAGTAAGTTAATTTTTAATATATGGTCAAATTTCAAGTTGGATTATTTAAAATTAAAAAAAAATTAGTCTAATTTATTATAACCCACTTGACCTTTGAAAAATATCATTCGGCCCAAAGATTAGGGCCCAAAGATTAGGGCCCAAAGATTAGGGCCCAATATAAACGGGCTTCAATTGGTCCATTATAATAAATATATTTCCAGCTCAGAAAGTTTTAATTTACAGTATTTATATATATTTAGAAAAAAAAAAGAAAAAAGAAAAATCTAGAAAGAGTTCATTTCTAACTGGTACCTCCGGCCCTTCTTCAGTAACGCTCCCACTGCCTCACCGTACACATCATCACCTTCGAACGTCCTCAATGCCACCTCATCATTCTCTTTCTCCATGTCATCGGTTTTATCCTTGCTGGCATTTGTGGTTGGCCTCACCACCACCAACGTGGCGTCCTCCATCCACATCCCTCGCCGGAGCTCCACCCTCGGCAGATGTCTCATCCTCACCGTAGTGCTCGGAACCCTCGTTCTCGTCCGTCGCCATTCCCCTCCCTCCCCCGCTACTCCGCCGCCGTCTTCGCCGCTACGGTCTCTCGATTTCCTCCACTCATCTAAACCGTCCTTGTCCATCTCCACCACGCCTTCCCCTTCCCTGTCTCGCAAAACAAGACTGTCCACCTCCAAATGCTCCTCGATCACCTCCGCCAACACGTGGTGCCTCGCCGATGCCGTAATCAGAGTACTAATCGTCAAAAACACCTTCGATTTCAGTTCTTCGATGAAATCGAAACCATCCGCCACAGCCGTCTCATCATACGACTCATACCTAATCCCTCGAAATAGCAAAATCACGCAACTCCTAAGCGTAATCCCAAACTCCGCTCTCCATTTAACGCCTCCGATTCTCTCAACCTTAAGATCTCCCGTCGGAAACTCGATCTCCAAACGCTGGATCCGGATAAACTGCCGTAGGATTTGCGCCGGAGAGTTCTGCGATTCGGACTGAACGAGGATAGGAGAAATCAAATCGAAGAACGATTTCACAACGGACTTGAAAAATCCGTAGAGGAACGAGTTTTCATCGGAATCAGAATCGGAAGAAATGACGCAATCGACCTTGAGAAAGAGAGAATCGGAATGAGGAACGAGGGAGTTGAATCGCTTCGAGACGGCTCTGCAACGGATCAAGGTTTTGACATCGGAAACGGAGTTGAAAATCAGAAGAATTATGGAATCTGGAAGAGAATCAAAGGCATCATCGATGTGGATTAACGAAGAATCCTGCCCTTCCGCCATGGAAGACTGCAAGAAATTATCCGTTATGTTTATTTTTTTTGTTTTCGTTTTTACGTACTTATTTAACAGAAGCTCCGCCTGCAAGGCAAGTGGGAGAGAGATAGAGAAAGGACAAGTTGCGGGAGGTTTGACCGTTGACCTACAACCAATGGGACCCACAGGCCCAATTACGGCCCATTGAAATTCACAAAATTTTTAAATATTAATATAGAAGCGTAAAAGATTTGGGGAGATGCATATATATATATATATATGTATATATATGTATGTATGTATATATGTATGTATGTATGTATATGTATATATATATACATACATATACATACATGTAACGACTCAGATCCATCGCTAGTAGATATTATCCTCTTTGTGCTCTCCCTCAAGACTTTAAAACGCGTCGGTAGGGAAAGGTTTCCATACCCTTGTAAAGAATATTTTGTTTTCCTCCCAACCAATGTGAGATATCACAATACACATATATAATATAATATAATATAATATATATAAATAAATAAAAAGGAGTAGAAACTTCTCTCTAGCAAACAATATTTGCTATTGATGGGCTCGAGCTATTATAAATGGTATCAGAGCCAGTCACCAGACAGTACAAGGCACTGGTCGAAGTAGGGTTTAGACCCTCTCTATAGTATACACGTTTTAAAATCGTGAGGTTGACGATGATACATAACAGACCAAAGCGAACAATATCTGCTAACGATAGACTTTGAATGTTACACTCCTCGCTTCTAAAGGTGAGGACTACCTCCACAGACCTATACGAGTCATTTCAACACACTTTATCCTCACTCAACATCAACCAATATAGAATTGCTCCGAACAAAATAGAGATTTTTAATTGGTCAAAGAATGTTGCCGTAGTACTAGCCCAACTTTATGGAGTTTCTTCCGAGAATGGACAACGGCTAACCCACATTTAATATGGTTGGAAAATTTGTCACAAAAAAAAAATGATGGGAAGAAAAGGTCAAAAAAAGGGTGTGAACCTAATCCATGTCCCTATTGATATTGCCTCTACAACTTGACCTATAAAGGATAGAGCGTTGATGGCTGTTGTTCGTTCGAGTTGGATTATTTTTGTAGTTATTAAAGTCGAACGGTACATTCTTATCACTTAATTTAAAATTTTAATTCATTAAATTTTATATTTTTTTAATAAAATTATTAATTTATTGATCAGTCATTATCCAACCATTCAAAATATATATTTTGTAATTAATTCTCTCCATCATAAAATTAAAAAAATATTAATCGAAAGAATAAAATATGACGGAGAATTTAGTTATTAATTTATTTTTAAAAAATTGAATTAAAATAATGAAATATTTTGAATAGATGATTGATTAATTCAACAAAATTATTTATTATTATTATTATTAAATATCACTTTAATATTTCAACTTAAGTGGTTGGAGTGAAAAATAATTAGTCTGATATTCATAATTTTCGAACGTTACTTAACGGAATATCATTCAATTCGTGCGGTAAAAGAAACGTAATAATTGACCTTTTTTTAAATTAAAGATTCCATAAAAAAAATTTAAACTTTTATTAACATTATTTTTTATCTTATTTTTTTTAAAATATAACACTTATATGATGTCTGTCACACGTACTAATCTTTAAATTAACATAGTAAAAACTTAAAAGTTTGGAAGAAAGTGTTGCGAAGGTTCGATAAAATGAAAAAAAAGATCAACCCAAGTTCCCGTCTCTCTCCAATCTGATAGTTTAATCTCCTTTTATGTTTCGGCCCATTTTATATTGGGTATAATTTTTTAGGTTTACCAGATCATTGAGATTTTCGGTCTCTATGCTTATTCTTACGGTCTAATTTCACTCATAACATTAGTTTATAGGTCGATTTTAATAGACCCTCGAGAATCCCACTAGAGAAGACATTCAATTCAAGCCTTCAATACTCCTGTCTAGTAGTGTACATGGGTCGGGTTGAGCTGAGGAAACTTTTTGGACCAACCCAAAGTTGAGGTTGGTTAGGTTAGTAACCAACCCAATCTATCCCGGGGGTAAACAAAATTATTTATCCATAATTTATAATTATTTAATATAATCTTAAATAAAATATATTAAAAGTTCACGAACAAACACAAATCAATCCACAAATGTTCCAACTGAGAAAAAAACAAAACAAAAATGTCGTGTTTTTTTTAAGTAAGGAGGGTTGACTAAGTAAAAGAACAAACCCCAACCCTTTGTCTCTAATATTAAGGTAAATGATTTGTAAAAGATCCCTTTGAATTCGGATTTTGTTCCAAAAAACCATAACCCAAATTCCCCCTTCCCTCCCCCTCCTATCCCCATGCATCCTCCACAACCCTCAACCATTGCCATTACTCTCCATTCCTCAATCCTCCTCCTCCCTTCTCCTCCTCTTTTTCCTCCTCTTCCATCTCCTCGGTCTCGGAGATGGACTCGGAGCGGGCTCGCTCTTCTTACTCTCTACCCGACCCTCCCATCTTCTCCTCTGGCACCTACGTCGTCCAGATCCCCAAGGACCAAATCTACCGTATTCCTCCCCCTGAAAATGCCCTTATCGTCGAGCGTCATCGCAACCCTTCTGTCGAATCCTCCCAGCACCGACGCTCTTGTTGTCTCCGCTTCTTCCTCCCCATCACCGCCCTCCTCCTTGTCATCATTCTCCTAGCCGTTCTCCTCCCTCCTCTCCTCGCCTCTCCCAAACCCCCCATCGTCAAAATCACCACATTCAAACTCGCTCCTTCTGGCCACGACTTCCACATCAAACTCAACATCCATAACCCCAATTCTATTGGCTCAATGTCCTTCAAATCCCCATCACACGCCTTCCTATCGTTTCGGAAACACGAACTTGCTACTGCGAAATTCCCGCTCATCCAACAAGAACATGGCTCCGAAGAACATGTCACGCTAGTATTCCATGCAAAATCATCGTCTTCCTTCCCTAAAGAGTTCAAGCGGCGGATGGAAGACAAAAAGTCTAAACTCCACGTGGCCATGTCTTTGAAGATGAATCTTCCGGCAGAAACAATAGGTCGCTTATCGATGCATCGAAATGTCGAATTTGTTGTTGTTTGTAGTTTCACGGTTAACACGTTGGAAAAAAATTCAAAGATATTGTCGCATGATTGCGAAAGCAAACGACAATGACGAACGGTACGATCTACAACGTGAGAAAAAAAAAAGTAAAAAAAAAAAAAATAGTATTTCGAGCTGAATTTTCTTTCTTTGGTTGTATACCATGAAGAACATGAATGGCGAATATCTATATGATCTCAATCTCTTTTCGTTTCGTTTCTTTTCGCATCGTTTTTTTTAAATCTTATTATTTTATTATTTTGTTATTTTTATGTGAGCTTCGTTAATGGATGCCTTTTAGGGTTTTTGTAATTTTATTTTATTTTCCATAATATTTTAATCATATAGGAAAATCTTTTTTTTTTTTTTTATATTTCACTTCTTGATAAAAAAACAATATTAATTAGATTAATGCTTATTTAATTATATAAATAATTATAAGGTGATATACATATTATAAAATAATTTGGCCTGCCTTAAAACCTTATAATTACTGCCTAATATATATTTAATTATATGTATATATGTGTATTTATCTTGGTGTTTTTTTTTTTTTCGATTGAGGATTTTTTAGTATTAAATATTCTGATATATTTGTATAAATATTTTCGTTAATAAAATTATATTTTAACGTAATATCAATGTATTTAATATATATATTAAAGTGGGTAGAAGTCGAAGCGAAAAACTCATCTCGTAATATATATATATATATATATATATATATATATATATTATATTTTTAGATTCGAACCTTATGAATTAAATAGACATCTCTAATCAAATGACTTAATCGATTAAATAATATTTAATTTAGCTAAATTTAATTGTTTAAATTTTTGGTGAAATGGAAAAAAATAATAATAAAAATATTTTAAAAGTTTTAATAATATCCTCCCACCTTTTAACTTATATATATATATCGATAATTAATTTTTTTTATTAATATTATTTTAAAAAAATTAAACTTAATTTTTTTTATTAATATCACTTATAAGTTAAAAAAACACATTGACTCTTTTTTTTTTAAATATTTATAGAATTTTAAAATTAACATTAACCCGGCATAATTTTTTTTATGATCAATATACAAACGAAATTTTTTTTAATGTTATTTTTAAAATTTTATGGATATTTTTTAAACATATTACTAACGATAATAATATTTTTGTATTTTTTTTTAATTTAGAGATATTAATAAAAAAATTGAAAATTAAAAGATTATTTTAAAAATATTTTGTCAAAGTTTAAGCGTATTATTAAAATATAGGATTTAATAATTTTTATCCGAAATTTTTTTTAAGGAAAAAATGATTAATTTAGCATTTCTGTATTAACATGAATGAAAAAAAAGTTATGGTAATAAGTTTGAAGGATTGATGGTCTGCAGGTTTTCCAATTGGAGAAGAAGAACCAATCCCTATATCCAGGGAAACACCGAGCTCGGTTTCTCTTAGATCTCCCGCAACAGATGAATTAAGGGGTCTCCGCTTCGATCATTTCTCAAATCCCAATTTCCCCGTCATTTTCCTTGAAGAATCGACGTTTCTGCCTTGGCGGGGAGTTTGGATTTTTCAAAATTTCCCTCCATTGCTTTCGTCATGTTCTTGTTTTGTTTCTTGATTTCTGCTTTGGATTAAGAGGCGATTCGGTGTATTTACCTCTTCGGATAGATCGAGAACTGGGATCTTCATCTCTTGTCTCCTTGCCGGCTGTGTCGGATCGGAAATTTGAGGCTGGACATGGATAATATAATCGGAAAGCTTCGAAACTTGGACGCTTACCCTAAAGTTAATGAGGATTTCTACAGCCGAACACTATCCGGTGGCGTTATTACGCTTGCGTCTTCTATTGTCATGGTTCTGCTATTCATTTCCGAGCTACGTAGGTGTCTCTCTTGATTTTACCGTTCCTTCGTGTTTGTTCTGTTAATCTATTATTGAATCTAGGGCTTATCATAATGTTTTTTACAATTCAATGGCCTTTTTGTCAAGAATTTGTTTTCTGTTTCATGTATTCGAGCCTCGATTGGTGTTTAGCACTTCCCAGATACTGTTTAATAT